GGAATAGGCATAAATAAAGATCTCTTCCAGTTGGTTGGCCAGGTAGCTGTCTTCCAGATTTCTTCCTTCATTACCACTGGTTCCTGATCACATGCTGCCTCTTGAAATGGTTAGACGTCGACCAGTTCTTTTTGGTATAATGACTGTGTATTCTTTCCATCTTCTTTTGACGCTTCCTTTGTCATTTAATATTTTCCCCATAGAATCCTTCACTATTGCAACTCGAGGCTTGAATTTTTTTCTTCAGTTCTTTCAGCTTGAGAAATGCCGAGCATGTTTTTCCCTTTTGGTTTTCTATCTCCAGCTCCTGCACATGTCATTATAATACTTTACTTTGTCTTCTCCAGCTGCCATTTGAAATCTTCTGTTCAGTTCTTTTACTTCATCTTTTCTTCCTTTTGTTTTAGCTACTCGACATTCAAGAGCAAGTTTCAGAGTCTCTTCTGACATCCATTTTGGTCTTTTCTTTCTCCTGTCTTTTTAATGACCTCTTGCTTCATGTATGATGTCCTTGATGTCATTCCACAACTTGTCTAGTCTTTGGTCGTTAGTGTTCAACGTGTGGCATCTGTTCTTGAGATGGTCTCTAAATTCAGATGGGATATACTTGACATCGTACTTTGGCTCTTGTGGCCTTGTTCTTATTTTCTTCAGCTTCAGCTTGAACTTGCATATGAGCAATTGATGGTTTCTTTTGCGGTTGGCCCCTAGCCTTGTTCTGACTGATGATACTGAGCTTTTCCATCATCTTTTTCCACAAGTGTAGTTGATTTGATCCCTGTGTATCCCATCTGGCTAGGTCCATGTGTATAGTCGCCATTTATGTTGGTAAAAAAAGGTATTTGCAATGAAGAAGTCATTGGTCTTGCAAAATTCTATCATGTGATCTCTGGCATTGTTTCTGTCATCAAGGCCATATTTTCCAACTAACAATCCTTCTTTGTTTCCAACTTTTGTATTGCAATCACCAGTAATCATCAGTGCATCCTGATTGCATGTTTGATCAATTTCAGACTGTAGAAGCTGGTAAAAATCTTTGATTTCCTCATCTTTGACCTTAGTGGTTGGTGCATAAATTTGAATAATAGTCATATTAACTGGTCTTCCTTGTAGGCTGTACAGCATTGTACTTCAGGATAGATCTTGAAATGTTCTTTTTGATGATGGATGCAATGCTGTTTCTCTTCAAGTTGTCATTCCCGACATTGTAGACCATATGATTGTCTGATTCAGAATGGCCAATAACAGCACATTTCAGCTCACTAATGCTTAGGATATCGATGTTTATGCATTCCATTTCATTTTTGATGATTTCCAATTTTCCTAGACTCATACTTCGTACATTCCATGTTCCGATTATTAATGGATGTTTGCAGCTGTTTGTTCTCATTTTGAGTCGTGCCACGTTAGCAAATGAAGGTCTTGAAAGCTTGGTTCCATCTGTGTCATTAGGGTCGACTCTACTTTGAGGAGGCAGCTCTTCCCCAGTGGTCTTTTGAGTGCTTTCCAGGCTGGGGGGCTCATCTTCTGGCACTATACCAGACAGTGTTCCTCTACTGGCTAATTCTTTTCAGAAGTAGACTGCCGGGTCCTTCTTCCTAGACTGTCTTAGTCTGGAAGCTCAGCTGAAACCTGTCTGCCATGAGTGACGCTGCTGGTATCTGAATACTGGTGGCATACTTCCAGCATCACAGCAACTCGCTGTGAAATAATATGACCTTTTATTTTAACATGACTTTTTAGGTATGTTTGAGCATCCTGGCAACCTTGACCTTGTCCAGAAGAAACAACTGCAAACATGTTACTTGTCCATTAATAGAGAGAACCTCAGTAGTACATTTCAAATGACATTATTGTCACTTACCACATGTTTGATATTCTCTTTAGGAAGGTTTTCCAGTAAGTTTTTTTTTTTTTTAATTTTGTTGTGCTTTAGGTGAAAGTTTACACAGTAAATTAGTTTCTCATTCAACAATTTATACACAAATTGTTTTGTGACATTGGTTGCAGTCCCTGTGATGTGTCAACACTCTCCCCTTCTCCACCCCAGTTTCCGTTTGTCCCATTTCCCTGTCCCTTCATACCTTCTTCTCTTTGCTTTTGGGCAGGTGTTGCCATTTGGTCTCATCTACATAATTGAACTAAGTAGCACGTTCATTACATGTGTTCTTGTTTGTTTCATCAGACCCGTGTAGTCTTTGGCTGAAGGGTGGACTTCTGGAGTGTGTAATTTTTAGGAGCTCCCAGTTATCTAGTTTCTCTTCTGGTGTTTGTGCATTGTTAATTATGGTTTGTATTGTATTTATGCCATGTATTAGGGCCTGTAGCATTCTTCCTATTTTTTCTTTCATGATCTTTATCTTTTTATGTTTTATATTTAGGTTGCAGTAGTGTTTTGTAGTTTTCTTTGTATAGGTCTTTTACATCCCTGGTTAGATTTATTCCTAAGTATTTTCTCTTTAGGAGCTATTATAAATGGTTGTCCTGATTTCCATTTCAGAGTTCTCTTTGTTGGTGTATAGGAATCCAACCGATTTTTGTTCCAGTAAGATTTATTAGAGAATAGTGAGGATGTTGATTACTTCAGTTCTAAGAATTAATTCATTTTATTTTCCAAAGGCTTTGTGTCCTTTTACCTATTCAGTACTGCAGGCAACTCTGTGAAGGCAGTGGGACTGGTGCTGTAACCTTCGTGTTGTTCCTGAAGACTTGGGGCTCAGAAAATCTCCGTGATTTTCCTCCTGGCCAGTGGCAGAGCTGAGGTTATCATTGGGGTTTTTTAGGCCAGCACTCTTTGTTCCAAGGAGCCCGGGTGGCACAATGGTTGAGCACTTGGCTGCTAAGTGAAAAGTCTGCAGTTCGAACCAACCAGCAGCTCCTTTGGATAAAAGACCTGGTGATCTGCTCCTGTAAAGATTACAGCCTGGGAAATTGTACAGGGCAGTTCTGCTCTGTCATATAGGGTCACTATGAGTCGGAATCCCCTTGATGGCACACAACAACAACAAGTCTTTATTCCCTTCCTCTTAGACATGTGTCCACAGATTTGGGACGTCCAGAGATTCATCCGGTGTTAATTTTGAAAATGTAGTCAGAAATAAAGCTTAGACTTCTCCAAATGTAGGAATTTCAGAGGAATCGTCTGTGTCTAAATGCACAAGCTCATTCAGTTTGAAAATGGTTCCTATAATATGGTGCTCATTTATTACTTCAGATTCATTGCTTCAGTAATGACTTTTAAATAGGACTGTTATTAGACTGATTGGACTGAAGTCTGATTGGACTAGAGTTGAGAGATTACATCACTATAAATAGAGTGAGATGAAATATTTTACATAATTTGATTGAACTTTTATGAGGACTCTCATAATTTGGAACCTAGGATCTTCTCCAAAAGGAGACTTAATTTGACCAGTTTCCAACTAGCAAACTTCCCAGCGTGGGGCTTAAGTTGTAGATAGCGTGGCTAGTTAAGGGCATTTGGGAATTAAATTATCTCTTCTGACACTTTCAATTATGTTACCTGAGGCAGAGCTTCATTAACTGCTCCATCAATAATTTTCCTAGCCCAAAAGCTGGAGGAAGTGAGATTAGCACACTGATTAGGGAATCATTTAAAGGACCCCCCCAAAAAACACAACAACCTTAAAAGCTTTTATTGTATATGGGAAATAATAGAACTGGTTATCTGATAGGCATTGGTGTAGTTATTGAGAGGACCTTGTTTGTAGACATAGATGAATTTAATGCCCCTCTTTAATAGCATTGGGAGGAGGTCGAAATGAGTTTAAAGGCATTGCAGTTTTCCTCTGCTTGCACAGAAATGAACTTTATCTCTGATATGTACAAGTTGACTATGGAAAAGTGATACTATTTTTAAAATATGTATTTCAAAAAACATGTATTTTAAAAATACATATTTAAACAGGTATTTAAAGATACATATTTAAAAAAAATTATTAAGCAATTGTGGACTACAGTGACTTAACAATTGATTGGTAAATTCTAATAACGAGCCCTGGTGGTGCAGCGGTTAAGTGCGTCAGCAGTTTGAACCCACCCAGTGGCTCTGTGGGAGAAAGACCTGGCAATCTCCTTCTGTAAAGATTACAATCAGGAAGACCCTAGGGGACAGTTCTAGTCTGTCACATGGGGTTGCTCTGAGTCGAAAATGACTCGACGGCACCCAACACAACAAGTTCTAATGAAACCACAATCTTTTCCTATCACCTTAGCTCCTGTATGAGTGACTCTAATCTTCTGTCTCTCTCTTCAGGCCATGTTGGGTTTGGATAACTATTCTTAGCAGGCACTCTGTGTTTAAAATTCCCAATCAGCATAATAGGCTGATATTTAGTTGAAGGAGCATTGTAAGCACAATGATCTGTGATTTAGAATATTGATAAAAGTTTTCCCAATATTTGAATTAGAATGGAATTTTTAGGAAAAGATATGTTGTGCCAAAACTGAAATGGTTGGGGATGAGAGAGGAAAGACAGGAGATGTATTTTGCTATTGGTTTCTATCAGATGATAACTGATGCTAACTGGGACTTCTCAACTAATGTGCAAAAGACAACAACAATGAAAACCCAAACAAACCTAACACCCCCACAACCCTCTCCAAAGCAAAAAGGTAGAGAAAGCATACGCCAGATCAACTGCTTTGAATCATTTCTTTTTTTTTTTTTTGGTGCTAATATTAAGTTGGGAGGGGGGTCCGTAACTTACATTTCCATTTGGAATCAGGAAGTTATTTGATATAATTTTATACCATTATTTATTTAGAGCCCCATTATTCTGGTAGCAATCTCTGATTAATAATAATGGACATATGTACGTAGCTCTTAAATTATGCTTGCTTTATTTTTCATTTCTCAGTGAGTTAAAATATACAGTATGATAATTTGGCAGATAATGGTTTGATTAGTCAGTATTATTTTTATCAGTTTATTAACGTTTCATTTTCTCTCTCTCCCCCTCTCTCTCTTCTGATTCCAGGGTGTGGATGAATGGAACATAGCCCGCCTAAATACAGTCTTGGATGTTGTTGAGGAAGAGTGTGGTATTTCAATTGAGGGTGTGAATACCCCTTACCTCTATTTTGGCATGTGGAAAACCACCTTCGCATGGCACACGGAGGATATGGACCTCTACAGCATTAACTATCTCCACTTTGGAGAGCCCAAGTCTTGGCAAGTTACCTGTTTCATATTCATTTGCTTTGGAGCCTTGAAATCTAGGCAACATGAACATATTGGAGAGGACTTTTATCTGGCGGGTTCAGATTTATGTGAGCTATAACAAAGTTTTGACTGTAGTAACGAATCGCCTTCCACTCCGCCCGAGGTTTAGCACAGAAACCATAGAGCCAGTTTGTGGGCGATGGATTGATAGAGATTTTAGTCTTAAAGGTTTGTTAGGCATCTTTACTTCTCTGAGAGCCTGTTATAGGGTATATGAGAGGTAGTTAAGAGTGAAAAGTTGATGTCCAGGATGTAGAGTTTCAAGTATAGTAAGTCCCTGGGTTATGAACATCCAACTTATGAACAACTTGTACTTGCCCTTGAATGTTACGTAAATTTGCCCTCACTATGAAATGATCGAACCAACCCCGACTTGCAACAAATTCTTCATTATAGGCACCTTCACTTGCTGCACGTGCAGCTTTTAAATCATTGAAAAGGGTTCAAGCCCCTTTTTTTGCACTAAAACCAAAAACCGAAGCTGTTACCGTCAAGTTGGTTCCAGCTCCATAGCAACCCTATAGGACAGAGTAGAACTGCCCCATAGGATTTCCAAGGAGCTGCTGGTGGATTTGAACTGCCAACCTTTTGGTTAGCAGCTGAACTCTTAACCACTGTGCTGTCAGGGCTCCTTTCTTGCACTAAAGTAAGGCTAAAGAAGAGCAGTATTCACCTGTTTCGACTTAACTGTACATTCTTAAAGACACAGTTAGGAACCAATCTCATTTGTAACTCAGGGTCTGCCTGTGCTCTTAATGATCCTGTGGTCCAGCCTCCGTGACAGGTTCTATTCAGTGCGTGGGGACAAAGGGAGAAAAGGGATGAGTGAGGAGGCCTGTTAGTGCTCTTTGGATGATGGACACAGGGAAAGAATACATTACCATTACTGTTACTATATTTTCTTAACTCACAGTGTCCCGTTTGCGAGCCCACCACCCCATCTTTCTGAGCAATGATTTTTAAGATGTGTCCCTCCGTAAAATGCATCCTACAGAACATGAGCTACACATTTGTAGTTATTAGCCTATCAATCATCCTGTTATCTTTTGTGGTCAGCCAATTTCATGTTTGAACTTGTTTTCATGGTCTTTAGTCTTGAGAGAGTTAAATACCAGTCCTGTTTTCTGTAGCGCAGAGTCACACACAGACAGCAGCATGTGAAGCATTACTTTGACAACCCAGGAAATATGACATTTCTGACAGTTGCAAACATAATAGGAAGCTGCTAGCCCAGTGGCTTTGTTGCCTCCAATTTGAAGATAAAGACCTCTTTCCGGTTCTTTTGATCAGGTGTTCACATACAATGTATTGTTTCCATCCTGTCTTGCCATTACTGGCCATTGAGATTTTATCGTTTGTGAAGTGTGAGATTGTAAACTTTCTTCCCAAAATTTAAGTATAGCAAAAATTCATGATTAAAAATGATATTTAATTGGAAGGAAAGTTTTAGGTGGAAGAGCGAAGTTCTGAGGACATATAAGAGAAATTCAGGCAGTTCCTGATTTTCTGTGCAGTTTTATAATCTAGGAAAAAATTAGCCAGCAGCTGTTGCACTTGTTTTAAAGATGCATGTTTCATTTGATAAATTCTGAGCATGCTGCTCTCTTTACAGAATAAATCAAATGGAAGCATTTTTCATAGCTGGTCCAGGACTCATGCCCAGGGGTGATAGGACAGTGTGATGCAGTTATTCGTTACACAAATGAGTTTATTGAGGGCCAGCTGTGAGCATGTACTTAGGCATGAGGGGCCTCTGTTTGCCATATTTCTTCAACACCACCTTGAAATCTGTTGGACTGTCATCCTTGGTACTTTTGGGGCTTCGCTTTGAGAGACTGTGAGAAATATTTTAAACAAAGCATAGGCACCTGGCTGGTTTCTCAGTTGCATAGTTATTTGGATACCATTTCTGACACTTACTTTCAAGGTGGATAAAATGACATGATTGAAGTCAACATGTTGGTGAAACCTAATACAGTAAAACCTGTGAAACCTGGAACCTCTGTCAGGTGGAAACCTGTCAGAGAAGGAAAACTCAAATATTTCCCCCTAAAACGAGCGATAGAAAAGTGGTAAGACTGTACCCTGTTGAAGGCGGAAAACTTGGAAGACCCGGAAAAACAAGGCAGTCTGGTCGAGTTCTGGCTCTCAGGTTTCACTGTCTGTAAGCGACTTGCCTTTGTTCCCGAGTGATACCTTGAGTCTGCTTAAGGAATCTGAAAAGCTAGTAGCAAAGCTATTGTGGAGATTTGTTAGAAATGAATGAGGGTGGTTATAACTTTGATGTGAGTTTTTAGTATTAGAAGAGATTAGATGAAATTTCTGCTTTCTTATTAAGAAAGGTGATTTTTTTTTTTTCCCCTCTTGGGAATCGGATGATGTTGTCTCCTAAGATTACTTAGGAGAGTATATTCTGGTCAAGGGTAAGACAGATCCTAGAGTCTGTGTCTTTGGGCAGGAGCCCTGCTGTTCATGAGTGAAAATAATTATGCTGCTTTCCAAAGTGTTTCTTTCTGCCAGCATGTATATTTTCAGTAGTTAATTACTCTATTAGCTGCCAAGTATATAGATGCCATTATTTACATTAAGGGCAGATTTATATTATCACTATTATCTTTAACCTTGACCATCATTTATAATGATAAAATAATAAAACACAGCAGTGAGCTATGACAGCTAATCTAGATTCCATTTCAAAGATAACGACTGGAGAAGAGTGATATACATGGCTCTAAGGGTATTTCCCAGTAGACTTTATAAAAGATTGTATCGCCTCAGCATAAATAATTCTGAGGTAAACCCTATTACCGTTAAAATTCATTTTAGTAATCATTATAATATATCTGAATTGAGTTGTGAAAGGCAGTAGAAGAATACAAACTCAAGTAAACGTTGTGAGGTAGGCAGTGTGCGAAGGGGAGCTTAGGCTCGGGACCAGCACTCCATCCTTATTCTGCCTCTAATGTGTGTGACTTTGGACACATTGCTGTACCTCTCTGGACCCCAGTTTCCTCACCCACAAAAGGACAGGGTTAACCAGGATGAGCACTAATTATGTGTGTGTTTGCCCGCAGACGGCACATAGGCGTGTGCACGCGCATTGGTTTCCCTTTCTGGTTGTCCCTTCCTTGTTCCATCTGTCGTTCACTCTAGGATGGTGGCCTTCACTCTTATCCAGTGCCCTCTCCTGCACTTAGCATCTCTGACCCCGGCAGGGTGTCTTCCTCCTTTTCTTCTGGGCTTACAGTCTGGTGTTTAACCTGGGCTCTTCCCTCTTCTTCAGTTCTACCCTCAGGCAACGAGTTCTGGATATGATTATTGCAAAGACTGCCTAAGAGAGCCCCTCCTTCTCCCATGTCCACGGATGCTCTCCTCTGCCCATGTATCCCTCAGATTTTGTCTGTAGCCTTTCTGGTCCATGTGCTTCCTCTACCCCGGATAGATCGATAGATTGATAGATAGTTGCCTTGGAGTTGACTCCGACTCATGGCGACCTTATGTACAACAGAATGAAATGTTGACTGGTCCTGCATCATCCTCACAATGGCTGACATGTTCAAGTCCTTCGTTGTGGTTGTTGTGCCACTCCACCTCACCGAGGGTCTCCCTTGCCCTTGTTGGCACTCTGCTTCACCAAGCATGATGTTCTCCTCCAGTGATTGGTGCTTCCTTGTGACGTGTGCAAAGCAAGCGAGTCGGACGGCGTTCTGTTTTGATCCATTGGGTTTTTCTTGGCTAATTTCTAGAAATAGATCTCCAGGCCTCTCTTCCTAGTCCATCATAGTCTGGAAGCTCTGCTGAAACGTGTCCACCATGGGTGACCCTGCTGGTGTTTGAAATACTGTTGGCATAGCTTCCAGCATAACAGCAACACCCAAGCCACCACAGTACCACAGACTGACAAATGAGTGGTGGGTCTCTCCCTCAGACATCTGTTTTTGCACCTCACATCCTCTGCTGCCCCCATTTTGCTTATGTGTGCCTTGACGTCAGGGTCCATGTCTTTTTGTCTTGGAATCATTAGCGCCTGGCTCTAGCACTGATACCCGTTGCCATCAAGTAATCTGACTTATAGCGACCCTATAGGACAGAGTAGGACTGCCCTATAGGGTTTCCAGGGAGTGGCTGGTGGATTCAGACTGTCAGCCTTTGGGTTAGCAGCCATATCGCACTGTGGCTCTTAACTACTGCACCACCAGGGCTCCATAGCATTGATACTCCATAAATAATTCTAGTATTGAATCAGGAGAGTGTTAAATTTTTTTTGGCTCAGTCTGTTCGAGGGCAATCAAGGAAATATATGGGACATTTTCTAAAGATGCTTGTCTACACTGTAACTGTTAAGAATACCGAGTTTCCTAAGATTACTGCATAGCTGCGGGTATGGATAGCTCCGGGGAGAGGCCGTGAGACGTACATTTTGCCCACCGTGTGTGGCAGTTTGTCTGAGTAAGTGTTCACAGACACAGGTTTGTATGGCAGAGCCTTTGGAGGACCTAATGATTTATTTAAAAATTTCTGACATGAAGGTTTAAGGGAAAATGAATCCTTAGAGTAAGCAGATAGAAAACTGCTTTTGCAGTCAGTGGTAAAGTATTTATTTCTTGGAATGAATATTGACTTTGGAGCCAGAAGACTGTTTGTAAACTCCAGATCTGTCACTTACCAGCTGAGTGACTTAGGGCAAATCACTACGCTCCTTTCACAGTACATTTCTCTAACCGCCAGGTGGAGGCGTGATTTATCCTGTCTGCTTCCAGGACTGCAAGAAGGGCCCCCTCATGTACTGTGTGTAACAGTGCTTTGTAAACGGTAGAGTGCTATACACATGCTCACAATTACTCTTATTTTAATAATCTTATGAAAGTAAATAATTTTTGGCCATAATAGTTACATAAAGTCCATACTATGCCTGTATATAAGGATAAGTAAAATATGGTTCTTCCTTC